TGATCGCAGATTTATATATATAGCATTTTCCGGTTTAGCATTTTCCGGTATAGCATTTTCCACAAAATATATATATTTTAATTCCATGCATGTGTTGATCGCAGATTTATATATATAGCATTTTCCGGTTTAGCATTTTCCGGTATAGCATTTTCCACAAAATATATATATTTTAATTCCATGCATGTGTTGATCGCAGATTTATATATATAGCATTTTCCGGTTTAGCATTTTCCGGTATAGCATTTTCCACAAAATATATATATTTTAATTCCATGCATGTGTTGATCGCAGATTTATATATATAGCATTTTCCGGTTTAGCATTTTCCGGTATAGCATTTTCCACAAAATATATATATTTTAATTCCATGCATGTGTTGATCGCAGATTTTTTTTTCCCCCAAGGTAAAGAACGCTGATGGTCATCAGGACAAAATCCTGGTTAAGCCCATGGCATGTTTTTCCACCCGACCCACCAAACTCGGCAAGAACAGCCTAAGTCTCAGGATATGATCTGAAGATACGTCGTTAGGTTAGGCAGCAGATCTGCAGAAACGAAGCCAGTCCGAATCTGAACTTCCGAGGGGAAGGAAATGATTTTTGAAAGAAGATTTCACACATTTTTCTGAAGCGCTAGCAAGAGGCAAGACTTCCTGCCAGTAGCCCGGAAAACTCCTAATGAGATCTGATAGGAAAGCCGGTCTCCTGGCACCCTCAATATAGGACATAATTAATGATACCATCCATTACATTAGAAGCTCTGCGCCTGCGACTGGAGCTCTGTTCTTGATAGATCTGGATTCATTGCTGACAGAGCATCGCATTTAACCAAGGGCCATTTTGCATAGAAAATGGACGGGCTGAAAGCCTTTGCTATCGATTGGAACGCTAAACTCTTTTTAGGGGTTCAGGCCCTACTCTTTGCACAACAGAATTGATCTGAAGGGAGCGGGATTCTGGCCAAGGCAGTTTCAGACCAAAGGATCCAAAAGGAGAAATCATTTGAAGGAGCAAGAGATCTTTGGAAAGTGGCGGACCAAAAGTCACAGGGAGGGATGCATGTGAAGATCTGCCCGGGGACCACTGAAACACAGCTTCTAAACTTTGCCTCCAGGCAGACCATGACATCATCATCATCATCATCAGAGGCTTTTGCAGACCATTGTGTGAGCCACAGCCAAGGCACCATAAGGGCTAGAATCTTGGGTGATTGCCAGCTTGCATAAGATGCTGGTGTTTCCATTCAAAGTCTTGTGAAAGTTGGGGCACGAATACAAAGAGCACGGGATCATCCTCATAGAACCAGAAGGTTGGAAGAGATCTTGAAGGTCTTCTAGTCCAACCTTCTGTCAGGGAAGGAATTCTCAGGCTACCCCAGACAAATGGCTGTCCGACCTTTTCTTGAAACCCTCCAGTGATGGAGACCCCACAGTTTCAGGAGCCAGGCAGTTCCAGCTCTCACAATCTGGAAATTCCTCATTAGTTCCAGTTTGGATCTCCCTCTGTAAAGCTCCCACCCGTTGGTTCTTGTCCTATGCTTGAGCACTACAGAGAATAAATCTGTTCTCTTCCCTGTGATAGCCTTTCATACCTCCCCTCTGCCTTCTCTTCTTTAGGGTAAAGTTCCTTTAACCACTCTTCATATCAGTGTTTCTCAACCTGGGCAACTTTCAGGTGGGTGGACTTCAACTCCCAGAATTCCCCAGCCATCTGGCTGGGGAATTCTGGGAGTTGAAGTCCAGCCATCTGAAAGCCACCAAGGTTAAGAAACACTGCTTCATACCATTTAGCCTCCAATCCCATCTTGGCTGTTTTTCTCTGCATTGTTTCCAGTTTCTCAGCATCCCTTTTGCTCAGTTGTGTCCAGAACTGGACACAGAATTCCAGGTGTGGTCTGACCAGTAAAAACCAGGAGACGGTGAGTTCTAGGCCTCACTTAGGCACAAAAGCTGGCTGGGGGACTTTAGGCCAGTCGATAGGTGGATAAAAATGCCAAATCCAGTCTAAACATCTGGCTGACTGTGCAACCAACCAAAATAACAACAAGAGCAACCGGGCAATGGCTTATAACTGGAACATTGAAAAAAGAAACCGAAGGCTTGATTTTGGCTGCTCAAGAGCAAGCTATTCAAACAAACGCAGTCAAGGCCAGAACTGAAAAATCATCAAATGATTCAAAGATTCATTGTGCAAAGAAGCGGAAGAAACAGTAGATCATATACTCAGCTCGTGCAAGAAGATTGCAGAAACTGACTATAAACAACGGCATAAATTCAGTCACCAAAATGATTCACTGGAACATCTGTAAAAATGATCACCTCCCAGTAATAAAAAATGGGTGGGAACATGTCGCTGAAAAAGCAGTGAAAAATGAACAGGTTAAAATACGGTGGGATTTCCGAATACAAACTGATAAAGTTCTGGCGCATAGCGCACCAGATGTAACTGTGGCTGAAAAGAAGAAAGTGTGGATCATTGATGTGGCTATACCAGGGGAAAGTACAATAGAAGCAAAGAATTGGAGAAGATCATAAAGTATCAAGATCTGAAAACTGAAGTTGAAAGGTTGTGGCATAAACTGGCTGTGGTGGTCCCAGTGGTTATCGGCACGCTGGGGGCCATAGCAAAAAGCCTTGGATGGCACTTAAAAAATCTGCGCACTGACAACATTTCCATCTGTCAATTACCAAAGGCTGCCCTGCTTGGATCCGCACATATACTACGCCAATACATTACGACAGTGTTTCTCAACCTTGGCAGCTTGAAGAGGTGTGGACTTCAACTCCCAGAATTCCCCAGCCA